GTTAATGCAGATATGAATGTTATTTTTGAAAGTTTGTGTGTTTTCGGAGCAAGGAGACCAGACACCAATGAAAACAGGTGGTCCAGGTGGTCCAGCCTCTCAGAATGCCTGTTTCAGTTTCCTCAGAGTTTTGCATCCAGAACAGCTTCAAGGCAGCTGGCTAAGATGGTCCAGCCTCACAGACTGTTCTAGCCAGGACTACAGATAAGTCTTGCACTTTCTCATTGTGCAGAGACTGGACAACAAATATTATAGCTAGTATTTCCAAGACTTGACCATTATCTCAATTTTCTCAGATGCTTTCACCCTAAAAAGATGCTTTCACCCACAGACAACATGAAGCAGTTTAGAGAGCACAATTCCCACATTTCCAAGACGTGGGGTAGGTGGTTTTTGGTCATTCTGTGGGTTATGGATGTTTGTCATCATTTAGAGGGAATATAGAATGAAAAGACAACTATTAACCTCAAATATTTTACATCAGTATTGATACAAATTTAAAGTTATTTTTGTTATACTGTATGTTTCTATTCTTGTTTAAGGTATTGTACCTATGCAACTCATTTAAAAAATGTAATGTATAATTAATAAATACAGGATAGTAGTCATCTATAAAAATCAAACTTGTCATATTAAGTATGTTTTCAAGGTTAAACAGATATATTTAGGTAGCTAAATGGCCTTCAAACACTTCAAAGACCTACAGAATATGAATATGGCATTTAAGATGTTTAATAACCTAAGGTTTTTTATGACATGAGTGAGACATGTCTGCTCCTGGCAGCACCAGTTTACTTCAGAGAAGATGATGGGCATTGAAGAAAACTCCATATGGAGTCTGCTCTCATGTCAAGTCAATCTTGCCTTGACTGCTAACAGTATGCTATATAAACTGGACAAGCAGAACACAAAAGAAAAAGACTGTCAAACTTTGCCAAGATAAGGTGGGATGGTCCTTCAAATTTCCTGCTTCATAGAAAAGTCTGCCAGATGTTCTAGGCCTATAGGCTTAAGATGGGTGCCCCCAACATGGCAGAGGAACCTTGGGTGACTACCCAAGCAGCCAGATGTCTCTCATTTCTATAGTTTGGGAAATGGCTTGCACTGCTCTTCCTGTTTATTCAGTAATAGTATATTCATCTGGAGTCTTTGATGAAGATGGAGACTACATAGTTGTAGTTTTCCTTAGTTGTGATAGAAGGTAAATTAGGTACAAAACTTTAAACTCACCAAGTAGGAACAAATAGTGGAATGTTTTCTCTGAATTTGCCAAATACAAATAGACTGGATATTGTAAATGTAATTCTTACTTGATAACTGGTCTTACTGTATATAGTCTTGCTATGTTAAAGTTAAAGCCTTTTTATTTAAAAAGGGGAAAATGTTATTGAATATTATTTTAGCTAGGCAAAGATATGTTACATTTGTTTATGATGCAGAATATTACTTTAACTGTGTAAAGGTGTGTTTACATTTCTTTATGCCGCATTTGTTTAATTATGTAAAGATGTATTGCATTTGTTTCACCTTTCCTGCCTAAAGCACCTGATTGATCTAATATTTAGCTGAACGGCCAATAGCTAGGGAGAAGAGGGGTAGGTGAGGCTGGCAGAGAGAATAAATAGGAGGAGAAATCTAGGCTTAAAATTAAGGAGAGAAAAAAGAGATGCCCAGGGTTAGAAGCCAGGCAGCCACCACCTATCCAGACATGAGAAGCAATGAAAGTAAGACCCACAGAAGGAAGAAAGGTAAAGGTAGATGAAGAGAAACAGGTTAATTTAAGTTAAATGAGTTAATTAGAAATGAGCCTAAGTTGGCCAAGCATTCAGAACTAATAATGAGTCTCCATGTGTGATTTGAGAGCTACTTGGTGGCTTAAGAGAAAAACCTGATACAGAGGGAATCTTGAGACTTGGGGATGCATGGGAACTAAGGGACAAAAATGCCCTGAAAAGGAAAGGAAGAGAAGCAACAATATAGAAGAGTGACTTAATAAGCAATACTGACCATGACAGAGAACACCTAGCAAAGAGGGCCATGGAAGGTGTGTTCAGTCAAGAGGAAAACTTAGCAAACAGTGGGTAGATTTGCAAATACCCTTTCTACCTCACTGTCCTGCACAATGGTCAGGAGGCAGTCTGTTAGGTTATTAAATTTGAGTTGAATTGACCTTGGGATTTAGCTTAATTTTTAAAGTCTTATCTTCATTTTATTATTTGTATGTGAGTGTGAATGGGGACATGTGCATGCCACAGGTGCGTGAGTGCCACAGTGCACCTTGGTGGCCAGAGCAACTCTCAGGAGTTGACTGTCATCCTTTCCAGGCAACTGAACCCAGGTCATTAGTCCTGCAGGGCAAGTGCTTTCCCCACTGAACCATCTCAGTGGCCCCAAAGTTGGTCTAGTTGGAATAGTGATGTCCTTACTATTCCAACAGTGCTACACTGCAGAGTCTGCTCATGACTGCCAAGTTGGAAAGATTGTTGAAGGTGTCTGAATCAGAGAACATATACCTACAAATGATTCATACATTCTAATGCAAAAGCTTTTCATTGTGTTGATGTATGTGTAGTGTGTGTGTGTATGTGTGTGTGCACATGCGCAGGTATGTAGAGCTCAGAAGGAGACCTCTAGTGCCCTACTCTGTCATATTCTGCCTTATTCTATGGAGACAGGATGTCTCCTTGAACATGGAACTAATAACCAGTGAGCCCCAGAATCCTCCTTTCTGCTCCCTCACAGAGCTGCAGTTACAGAAATGTTGCCATACACAGCGTTTAATGTAGGTGCTGGGGATTTGAACTCGGGTCCTCCTACTTGCACAGCGTGAGCTCTTTACCCACTGAGCCATCTCCCTAACTCCCAAAGAAGTTCAAAGTTTCTTCCCTTTTTTTTTGTGATACTAAGGATCAAACCCAGGGCCTTGAACGTGATGGGCAAGGTACCCTACTGATAAGTTATATCTCTAGCCCCCAAATGCTTTTTACAAACCTTTAGTGTTGTGGTGAACAAATAGTACTGATCCAGAACCTACCAGGCCTGTGTTCCCATTAGAAAGCCAGTAAGCTAGGACTGAGAGCCTCTTCCATTTGTAGTCATTTGCTTTATTTGATCCCAGGAACCACAGGAAGAGTCATAGTATCTGGGCAGGATTTCCTTTGCCGTCTTCCCTACCCCTTCCCCCAAAGGCTTCATCAGCAGGAACACTGCGAGTTTAGAGAAACGCAATAATACCAGCTGCAGTGATCTGAGCCTTAACTGCAGAGTGAGGCCGGTGGTAGGGGGAGCTGCACCATCTCATCCGTGCCTGTGAGGGAGGCGGGGCAGAGAGGCAGAGCCTGGGCCCAAACCAAATCTCCCAGGCTTTGCTCTAGAGGGTTCCACAGGGGACTAGTAGGTCAGTTAGCAAGGGCAGTGGCTAACCCCTTCTGTAACAGACAACTCAAGCATAGTCCACCCTCTGCCATCCGGGAGTGCATCTCCGGGAAGCCAGCTCCTGTCCCTCTCCTTCCTTACCTTGTATTTGTTCCCTCTGGAACCCGCAACAGCTAAGTGGGATCCTTCCCAGCCGCATCTTCAATACAGGGGACTCCCCTCTCTAGTGTGCTCAGCTCAGCTTGATAGCTTGGGCAGAGGCTCTTGAGACCCGGTTACTTAAACCTCAGGGCACATTCCTAAACTTCAGATGCTGATAAGGCTCCCAGGAGAGTGCACCAAAATCTCTTAAATCCATAATTTGCCTAGAAATTGACAGTGCAGCCAAGTAAGAAGAGAGAGAGCTCTGGAAGGTCCTGCAATCCCGCTGAACCCTTCACTCCCCAAGTCTATGAAATGAGAAGAATATATTAGGAAATGAGAGTGGCTTGTAATTTTTATTCAACTTGTTCTTTTTTTGACAATTTCACCCATGCACACAGCTCCTTCTGATGACTGCCACCCCACCTTCTGTGTCTACCTCCCTCCTATCCCTGTTCCTGCCTGCAAATCCCCTTCTCACATTCACGTCTTTTTGAGCTGTTTTGTGATCCAGGGGGGTTAGCCAGGGCCATCTGTGCAAACACGGGTTTGGAGCTGCCCGTGAGAGCCCAGTGGATTGAGATAGACGGTATTTAGTGACCACTTAACAAACACATGACAGCATTCCACATGCAGTGTCTCATCCAAACCTCCCGGTAGCTCTAGGTGGCCACTATAATATGAAGCTCAAACAACTGAGTCGGGGCAGGGAGCTCATTAGGAAAGTGCTCACCTTGCGAGCAGGAGGGCCTGTTGTCATGTGGGAAAACAAAACAAACAAACAAAAACGGGTGCTATGGCACACCAGTAACCCCAGAGCTGGGGAGGCAGAAGCAAGTGAGTCCCTTGGCTAATTGCAGGCAAGCCTGCTTACTTGGTAAGGGCCAGATCACTGAAAGAGCCGATATCAAAAAAGCAGTCAGCTCCTAAGGAATGGCACCCAGGCTGCCCTCTGGCTCCCACACGCACTTGCATACACAGTCACACACAGGGGGAGAGGAAGCATACAGAAGAGTTAAATGACTTCCCACCCTCCCAGAAATAGTAAGTGACAGAAGCAGGAACAGAGTCCAGGCTTTTGTACCCTGATGAATACACTGTGTGGCTTTACTTAACTAGGAGAGAGGGGAAGACCTGAGTCTGGGGGGGAGGCCCCGCTGTGTAGTCAACTCTCATGGTGCACACTGGGAAGGCCTCAAACGAGAGGTGCCAAGGGGGCTACATGGAGCTCCATAAAGGTTGAGTGAGGTCCAAAACCCCACATCATGAAGGAAGGAGGGTCAGAGGACCCTAGGAGGTCACAGAGAATGTGAGTAGACAGAAAAGGCATACTTTGTTCACCAGCACGGGCTGCTGGGCAGGCAGATGCTGACAAGCGTCCAGGCACACACATGCCAGCATGAACGGACTGCACAGGGCTGGGCACAGGCACGCAAGCAGGCGGGCACACAGGTAGAGATAAACACACACAGCCCTACGGAGACTAGCAAAGGCAAAAAGTGAAAGTGAAGGCACACTCTTCTGACCTCAAGGTCATATTTAGACAGAATCGTACAAAAGTAGCGCTTTGCCTGGAAGGAATTTAGCATAGACTACATTGCTGCTTGCTTTGGGGTTCCCCAGACACATGACGTCCGTTTGCACTGACAACACCAAGGTGTCTAACATCGGCCATTCTAGATTTCTGTATCCGTGCCATGCGGTCTAAACAAACTGGCTGGAGCATCCCTCTGTCCCCTTCAAGTGGTAAAGAATAATGTTCTATAGATGAGCGTCTGTGCCTTCAGAAAAGGAAGGGGTCGGTGCATAGGAGGGCTCAGTGGGGTTGCCCCAAGGGATGATGGGGCTCATTCTACAGGAGAGCAAGCTCCTGCGTTAAGTTTCTCCTGCTCCCCTGGCAGGACCGATGGTGAGTTACATAACATCTGGCTAATCAAGAGTTATACAAATCCCCACCTGTGGCCTGCTTGTGGCAACGAAATGAGACGTCTGGAGTACTTCGCTCTGTCTGGCACCCTCCCCCTGTGCGTGTCTTCCTGTGACTATTACCACTCTAACTACCATTTTCTTGGACTCTAAAAACAAAGGCCGAAGCCAGAGGAAAACTCTTCTCAACTGACATCACCGTTGCAAGATGGGGGGAAAACCTTACAGTGGAAGTTCTCTTGCTTCCGCTGACAACCCGTTCACCAGCATCACCAATGAGACACATACCAAATGGACCCAGCCCTCCTCTCATTTCTGTTTTAGTATGCTTAGAAGCTGAGGGTAAGAGGTAGAGAAATGGGTGGGAGCAGTTGCCTACCTAAGCAATCCAGAATTTACTGTGAGATCGTCTCTAATTGGTGTGGGAGGTGGAGGCTCGGCTAAAAACAAAACAAAGAACAAACAAGGAAACCAGAGGAGCTAAAACAGATCCCCTTTGAGGGCGCTCATCAAAAAAAAATCTTAATGGCCCACACTCTGTGGCCGCCATGGCGTTTGCAAACTAAACTGTGGCTCTTCATAAGTCCAGCTCCAGAGGCAGATGTAAGTCCTTCCCATCCCACAGCAGAGAGGCACTGTTGTCTTTGCCGGCACCGGCTTCTCTGCTTTAAATAGATCCAAGATAGATGGACCCTAGGCCTGACATTCGGTTTCACCTTCCGCTGATGTATAGAAGCTCCAGGGGCATTTGGAAGACGCAACACAGAGATTATATGTAAATCAATAGCAATTTTTCTTTTGTGCTCAAACCACGAATACCGACTAGCTAGTTTTCGGGACATTGCAATAAGTGAGCTCTATGTCCCTGTTCCAATTCAATTATGCTTCAGTGTTTTAATTAGCCTAAATGATTTTACTTTCTCTCCATAGAATGAATTTTTGCCAGATCCCTGCATTTCCATCCAACTGTCTTGTCACAGCTAAGTGACAATGAGTGCAATGAGGTGGACAGAAATGGAGAAGTGGGTAAGGAAAGCCCTGACAAGGACTAGCAGGCACGATTGGAAGGGTGGGTGAAGGGACACAACCCGGGTGGTAGGGTGGGGAAGAGCTGGTCAGGTATACTGTAGAAAGGCAGTAGACATGCGTAAAACGTGGGCCCCTGGGTTGGAATAGCGGAGGAGGTGCTGTGTTCAACAGACATACTAGGTTTCCCCGAAGGGACTCTGCGTGCCCTTCCCTATCTCCATCAGAAGCATCCTCCCTACCTGTTGAGTATAGGCTCGGCCATGCGACTTCCTTTGTACAATGAAATGTTGAGTATATTAGTTTGTTTTGTGTTGCTTTAACAGAACCCCTGAAACTGGTCAGCAGCAGCATTAGTCTGTCCACTGGTCAGTTGTGACCCAATCATGTGTTCAACCCCACGTCTGAAACGTACCACCATCTCTCCTTACCGCAATGCTAGAAACCAGACTTACAGCATAAGGGCAACATCTCATCGTTTCTCCATTTTTAATGTGTTGGCTTTAAGAATAAAAACCTCACACGATGTGTTTGATCATATTATTTCCCCTTCCTCAATCCTTCTCACCTCCCCACCCATCCAATATCATGTTCTTTTTCTCGCTCAAAAAAAAAAAAAAGAAGCTAAAAAGAAAAAGACAAAAAAAATACCAAAACAAAACAAAAGGTGCATGTAAAACATCGCGTCTATTGGTGTGATCCATCTCCTCTTAAGCATGGGGCCCGCCCTGGAGTATGGTTGGAATACCCAGGGTCACTCCATTGGAGAAACTGACTTTCGCTCCCACAACAAGTATCAGTTACAAATAGCTGCTCGACAAGGGGGAGGGACTTTGTGTCCCTTCCCCTTCTTGTGCTTGGATTCACCCACCCCTTCTGGCTCTTCCAGCCTGCCTACTCTTCCACCCAGAGCCTTGAGGAAAGGGACTGGATCGAGATTCCAGTTAGGACTGAGTGCTACGAGGCCAATCCCTGAAGCATGGCAACAGAATGAGAAGCAGAGTCGTCTAGTGTGTCAACACCTTTAAGTTAGGCCTCTGAGGCTTCCAGTGGCACCAGGAGAAGAGCTGGCCCTCATAGCTCTAGCTGAGACAAGATGGAAAGGCAGGCAGGACAGCCCCAGTCGCACCCACTGCTCAGAGCAAGGCTGAGTGAGATTCCACCCAGAAAGCTCTTCTTAGCGTCAAGGCTGCGCTAAAGCTGCTTCCCTTCCTGGCCCAGTCCAAACCTACACATTGCATCCTCAGGCTACCCGGCCCTGCCTCTCCTCCCATCAAATTGATGCCTGCCCTTTCTGCTCATTTTTTCCTAAACGCACCCAACTCTTTCATCACAATCTGATTATATGTCTCATGTTGGGCTCTCCCATCATGCAGTGTTCCCTGCATCAGTGGGTGTGATGTAAGCTTCATTTAGTGCTAGCACAGCCCCGCGTGTAGAGCAGGCATTAACAAACACTTGTGGGATGAAAGATAACAAGCGCTCACCTGGAGTATGATCTGAGGACCACCCTGATGGCCTGGGGCTCTTCACATGAGATGTGCAAACACTCACCTGGAGTGGGAGACTGAGGACCACCCTGATGGCCTGGGGCCCTTCACGTGAGGAGATGTGCAAACACTCACCTGGAGTGTGAGTCTGAGGACCACCCTGAGGACCACCCTGAGGCCCTCCACTACCCAATGTCAGAGGACGTAATGACTTGGTGTCTATGGTTAGGATTGACTTGAGAGACAGGCATAGGATCTCTAAAGAAATTTAAGCCAAAATTCGGTGTCTTCAAAGAGCAATTAGCTCTCAGAGTGACTATGTACTAAGAGCTTGGCTGGGCGCTTCTGGCTCAGGCACTTGTTATGAGGCTAGAGACTCGAGAAGCAGGGACTAGCAGCCAGCATGTCCCTATATCTGTATCGTCTCAGGGCCACTGCATGTGGGACTGTTACACAAATCTGGGCACGTTAAGTGATGGAAATGTACCTCAGTATCTCAATTCATCACAAGAGAAGGCTCAGACTCACCTGGATTTCTCAGAGGCTTGGCTCGGGTCCCTGTATTCCCTCCTCCCATCTAAGGCTACAACCGTGAAGGAGTCTCAAGTACACCCTTCTCTTACCTTCTGACTTTCTGTAGAATTGCAGTCAGCCTGCAAACAGTTCATCCAGGAAAAGGGAGTGGCTAAAATCTCCAGGGATAATTCTTAATTAAAGGTAAATGAGAGCCACTGGACAAATGTCCTATGGATAGATGTCTCTGGAAACCACTGTGTAGGACTCAGTGGTACCCACAGCATCTAAAGTCCTGTAGTCCAAAGTGGCGGCCTCATCCTTTACACTGAGTAGCTTCTTCCTTCTCTCTGCTTTCTCCCCGCTCTGCACACTTGCTCCAGACCACCTTACAAATAACAGCATCCCTCCGTGCATCCCTGTACACCCTGCTTTTGGAGAAACTGAAACTAAGAGATTAATGCATTGGGGAGGCAACAAAATTCCGAACATATCTTAGTCTTGCAGGAATTATCACTAGGTGTAAGTAGAGAAGGCAGGTTAAGTACGATCCATGTAAATCACGCCTAGCTGAATGCCAAGCCATCATAGATGCTTACTTAGTTATCATGTTTCATCCATTCCCAGACACACCATGTCTTTCAGGTTTTAACTTTTCTTGAAACAAGAAACGCTGCTGCCAAATGTAATTAGAACACTGATTTAAAGTGGACATTGGTGAACTTGTACTTTTGTTTGTGGCTGGGGCCTCCTAAGGAGGAGTAGAGGTTCTCTATGTCTCCTGGGAGAAGGAAGTCTCACAAAAGGGATGACAAACTTGAATATGTCCCCAGTCATGAAATCAAAGAGACTACGAGGACCAGAAGGTTTTCTGGACAGGTACTGGGACACCGAGTTCACAAAAACAGACGTCATTTCTCCTGTGTCTGTGGCACCAGCATAGAGCCTCGTCAAGGTTATTCACCCGGTAAGAGAGCTGGGAAGGTGGACCATCCTGCCTGACCTGGAAGCACACACAGGAAGTGAAACAGCCACAGCAAAGACAGAGGCAGGGCACCGTGACCAGCTGTAGAATTCCAAGAACACGGGCACGCTTTATCAGCAGAGGAGACCAAGTGAGCCCTTCAGTGCAGTGCCTCACACTTGGTTGTGAACACACTGCCAGCCTGGAACCAGGAGGAAATGGGTAACCTAGTAACCTCTGCATCACCATCCTCTTTCCTTCCCTTTCCAGGGCTGTGAGGGCTTCCACAGGGCTCGAGGCCTTCTTTCTCCTCCCAGAGGCAGCCTTTGCCCCGCATGGGTCTCTGTCACTCCTGGCATACTTCAACACCTGCCCTTCACCTCATCTTCCTCCAGAACTGAATCTCCCTCCTTCCCATCTCTGTAGGCTCAGCCCACTTTCCAGCAGACAGATGGATGCATCTGGCATTCAGGGCCGATGATAAGTTATCTCTGTTCAGGGCCATTTGTACTGTAATAGCGCTTTCTATGCCTCAAGCCCACGAGGATGAGCCCATGCTAAGCATTTGATAGTGAACTCACAGGGGCGCTTTGGGGTATTTTTAAAATTCCAAGGGAAACACAGAGGCATCTGTCAGGCTGTGCACAAATTACTGCTATTAAGTTATTTGGATTCACCTACTTAATAAACACAACTGTTAGAGATTTCTTGGGGCTTAGAGGAGCCGTGGGGGTGGAAGTAAATGTTCTGTGACTAGGCAGTTTGGAAACAAGCTAAGCAGTGGGCAGGGGTGACATGTGACGTGACTTAAATGCTCTCAGGAACGAGCCTGCAGAACAAAGGACCCCTCCGTGTGCCCCAGATCACAGCCTGTAGGTGAGTCCATCCTTCCAATAGGCCGAGAGAGATCCCTACCGCCAAATTCCTAGTATCTTCCTATTTATTTAATGACTTCAAGACTACCTATTCTGGAGCACTCCCTGATCATGGCCCCAGGGGATAGAGAGATTGTGAGGTTCCACGGTAGACCCGAAAACAGCCTGCATTTTTAGGCTTTCCTATTAGGGGAAAGAGCAGAAAGCAGCTAGGTCTTGGGTCCGTTTCCATGTGGTCACACCCTCCCAAATCATGCTAGCTTCCCCTCCTGGTAGGTTTGTCCCATCTTTTCTTCAATATCTAGAGTTAGAGCTTTTAAGTGTGTGTGGGTGCTGGATTCTACATTAGAATGTTTTGTCCATTAAAGCATGACTTCACATGTACATTACAGCATAACCAATACCTGCTAGAGTGCTAGTCATATAATAGTCACTCAATAAATGTACTGAACAAATTAGCTAGAGTTCCACGGAAGAACTAAGCCCGACACCCTATCCTCCACCATACGGATTATTTTCTTCCCTGTGCTTCCAGAATGGTACCGACTGCCTTGGAGGAGCAGAGAACACAGTTACTCTCAGTACAGTCTGTGCACTTTGATTCAGAGAAGGAGCCCTATTGGGAAAGACTGAGCTCCTGGGCCAGTGAACGGCTGGAGAAGCCTAGTCCCCTAAGCAGTCAACTTTGACCAACCAATCCACTCTTCCTGCCTCTACTAAATACCTCTGGGTTGGAAATGGTTAAGTCCTAAAGCTTCTGCTTCTACTGGCAAGCCCTTAGGAGGGATGCTCAGCTGCCCCTGGAAGGTGGCCTGTGGAACCCTACAGCTAATGGCTCTGTAAGCAGATCCAGCCTTTTAAAGGTCTCACAAAAGAGGATGTGCACAATTGAGGCTGCAGCCTAAGTACTGTCTGGTACTGATAAGGCTGCCTGGGAACGCCCCGTTCTAGCCCTTCCCCAAACCAAAGGCTCTTTGAGAGGCGGCCAAGCATGCGAGACCAGCCAAGCAGTGCTAAGTGCATTATCTTGTCTAAGCAAAGCATGAGAAGTAAATTAAGATCCTCGCTGACCTCACTGACTTAACATTAAAAAAAAAAAATCCTCTGCTTTTATCGTTGCATGGCCATCGCCCTGAAGAACACCCTCCCTTCCCTTAGAGTTGTATTTAACCTTAAAAAAAAATCTGGCTGCTTCTGCCATCTCGTCCTATAAAGAGCCTTCTAGCTCATCTTCCTCTGGTCATTTCTAAACCAACCACTAGGAAGGGGAATGGGACTGCCATAATTAACTTAGACCCATAAGATCTATCCCACCCCTAGCAAGTAACGGTGCAGAACCCCAGGTAACAGAAAAATAAAATCAATGTTCTATAAGCTGAGAAACCAAGAAGAGGCGCTGGTGTGCAGGCAGCCCTCTGCATGGCCATGAACTTTACATCCAGGACGGACAGGTACAGAGACAATAACTGGACCAAATGTTGCGGCTGTCGAACTGATGTCGTCTGATGTCGCAATTTCCTCCAGCAGCTGCAATGGTCACAGGACTCTCTGCTTCCCGACAGTGCGGCTTTGTCACCTCTGCACGCCATTCCTGTGTGAGTCACGCAGATGGCATGCTGGGAATCACCCAAGGAGATGGTGGAAATCCGCAGAACTGAGAGCCCATGCCAGGCTGGAAATGCCA